GGAGGCAGAAGCTGCCGTGGAAACGCAAAGTTACATTCACTTCTGAACTGCGTTATTTTTGCCAGCAGCCGTTGTTCCCATCAGAGGCCGAGGTGCGGGTCCATGTCCCCTCCGGCCTGGCGGTGGCACACAAATGGGGTGTCGCTCAGCTGCCATCGCCCCGAGGTTGGACTTCATCCTCTCCCCAGGGGGCACCAGGCAGACACGCAAATTGGGTGGAGGTGGGAGAGGGGTGAGGGGAACCAGCCCCTCAGGGGGGACAGGATGGGACAGGACAGGACAGGACGGGACGGGACAGGGTGGTGCGGATGCTGCAGACAGCTGAGGGATGGGGTGTCCTGTGCCACGTCCTCACACCAGTTTCCCAGACCGACTGCCAAACTGGGCTGGGGGGGGGGTCTGCCTGCCGCAGCCAGGTCCTGGGCTGTTCGCTGTCCTGGGCCTGAGTCTGTCATCACCACCAGCACCGAGAGGTATGAGGACTTGGTGGGCAGAACCACATTCCAGTCTGGCGTTGTGCGGGAAGGCACAGTGTCATCTGGTCCCACACTCTGATTTCTAAGCCCTGGAAAGAGACAGCCTGGTCTGCATCACCCTGCTCCGTCCCAGTTTACTTACAAACGTGGGGTAGATCTGATCTATTTTATTCTAATTACACAGCCACAGGTAAATCTACTCTCCTTATGTCAAAAACCTGAAGAAATGACAAGCGCTAGTAACAAATCAAGTCATGAGATAAGCCAGCATTTATCGGGGAGGGAAGGACTGACTGCCTGGTTTTCCAGGTCAAACCCCTTCTGCGCCCGCACGCCTCCCCAGGAGGCAGGTAACCGAGGCGGGGATGCGCTCGGCAGAGTACCCTTCGCCGTCACAGCCCAACTGCTCAGGGGCATCTTTCTTTCAAGTCAAATTCCATTCTAAGGTCTCAAGAACACAACTCCCACTGACTGCAGCGGGAATTGTCCTCTGCTCCCCGCACCCGGGAACACGCAGGTGAGAAGAAAAGGTCAGCCCTGACTCCGTCTGCTTCTCCCCGTCGATAAGCACTCCGGCGGCCACGACACACACACCCCCTGAGTTTCTGTGCGGGAGCGCTCGCCCCGCGAGCACACGGTGGTGCTCTGCCCGGCACGCTCGGCACGGCGCTCCCACCCGGCTCTGCCCAGCCTTCCCCCAGGCAGAACCGCGTGGTTCACACACAATTTGTTGGGAACCTGGCGGATACTCCACCCGTTCTATCAGAAAGTGCAACTCCAATAGAGGCAAAGGGGACGAAGGATTTTACATCAGTTTTTAGGAAGCCAAAAGACTGGAGCCTGTGTATCACCAAAAAGAGAGAGCAGCTTTTTTCACCGAGTAAAGCCATGGCTCCTTCAGCTGGAAGATAAACCCGGGCACTTGGTGTCTCATGTGCAGGCTGGCCTGGATTGCTTCTGTTTTCATAAACCAAGATTTGAGCCAAGCTGTTCCCACTGACCCTGCAGAGAACACAAACCCGTCGGAGCCGCAGCGCAGCGCTGCCCCGGAGAGACGGAGCGCAGACACCCCTGGGGAAACCCAGAGCAGCTCTCCTGTGCCCCAGGCTCAGCTCGCTAACAGCAGCCTGACCTTACGTTTTTTCCACTGAAACTCAGACAGATATCCCAGGTCGGTGTGTTCTCACAGACCGAAAGAGGAGAAAACAAAGCGTGAGGTTTCCGTGACCCCAGCAGCACGAAACCTGTGGGTTTCCCCCGGCTCCGCCACGCAGTGCCTGACCCCCACCCCTCAATGCCAGCCCGGCTGCAGTGGGCGGCAGAAGTCGAGGGACCATCACGGCACGATGTTGCCTTTCTCCAGCTCGTCTCCCCAGTGAATTTGCTCAACTTTACAGACATCTGCTAAGTCTGTCTTTTTTTTTTCCCCTTGAGCTACACAGTTCCCACCCGGCCCTGGCAGCCCAGGCTCCGTCCCGCGGGTCGCCAGCCCGTGCAGAGGGAGCTGCAGCTGGAGCCCCCCCGGCTCCTGCTCCGCACCACGCCGGGAGCCAGCCCTGGCAGAGCGCTGCTCAGCCTTACGCAGCTCTGTGTCTGCCATTAAACATTCATGCTGCTTACACAGCGAGAAGAAAAACGCAGCCTGTGACGGGCTCTCATGAGAGTTTAATGGGGGCGTGAGGGGGGGAGCTGACAGCGAGCGCCGGCGGGTGACGCGCAGAGGGGACCCGGGTGCCTGGCAGAGGCGCAGGGTGGGGGGAGCTGCTACCTGAGCAGTCCCGTGCCCACGTACCTCGGCAGCGCCTGCATCCCTCGGCCATGCCCGCATCCCTCGGCAGTGCCCCCATCCCTCAGCAGTGTCCGCATCCCTCAGCAGTGTCCCCATCCCTCGGCAGTGCCCGCATCCCTCGGCAGTGTCCCCATCCCTCGGCAGTGCCCGCATTCCTCGGCATCACCCAGAGCACAGGCGGCTGCAGATGGGGGACTGGGAGGCTGAGCACACCCTGCCACAGACAGAGCTAGAGGAGATCGCCAGCAAAATTTCGGATCTAAACAAATGGAGAGAAATTTTTCGTTTCCGTGGGTAAGATTTTTATTCTGCTTCATTATCACTTCTTTAATTCCAGGTGGTTTTTTCATATAATTTTTTAAGTTATATTTTATTACAATACTTATGTGACCATGGAAAAAGTTCTTCATGTATTCAGTAATGTAAGTACTACAGCTTTTGCTCTTCCTTTCTTTAGGGGTTCGTTTCTGGCTCGTCTCCTGTTTCTTCATATATTAGCAATGCATCTGTTGTGTTTTTTTTTTTAATTTTTATTTTATTTTCCCTTTTCAGTTTGGAAACGAGCAATACAACTCATCAGGTAACTGTTTCCCCAAAATGTAACATTTTGTATTTGCCTGGTGGTTTTGCGACTGTTCCACCAGGTCAAGGAAATCACACATCTATACATGCAGCACAGCAGACCATCTTTCCGGAGGTTTATTTCTTAAGCTCCTTCTTTAAGAAACATGCATTTTCCTCAGATATTTTAAAGGAATGTTTTCCTGATCTAAATCAAAGTGGCAGAGTAGTCTAACATAAATTAACCTTTCTGTCTACAAGTAACAGTTTTCATGGTCAGTTTTAGAACACAGATAAAAAGGATAACAAATTAAGATCTCTAAAATACAAGTATTTGGAAAATCTGCTGTGCCTTTAGGTTGAAAAGCACTGAAGTTTATTCCCTGTAATTCGAATAAACAAAACATGACTTTCATAGAATCACAGAAGGGTTTGGGTTGGAAGGGACCTTAAAGATCACCCAGTCCCTCCCCCTGCCCTGGGCAGGGCCACCTCCCCCCAGCCCAGGTTGCTCCAAGCCCCGTCCAACCTGGCCTTGAACACCTCCAGGGATGGGGCAGCCACAGCTTCTCGGGGCAACCTGCCCCAGGGGATCACCACCCCCACAGACAACAATTTCTTCCTAATATCTTGTCTCAATCTCCACTCTTTCAGTGTAAAACTGTTCCCCTCGTCCCACGGCTCCCCTCCCTGACCCAGAGTCCCTCCCCAGCTCTCCTGGAGCCCCTTTAGGCACTGGAAGGGGCTCTGAGGTCTCCCCTTTTTGGCCTTCTCTTCTCCAGGCTGAACCCCCCCACCTCTCCCAGCCTGTCCTCCCAGCAGAGGGGCTCCAGCCCTCCCAGCATCTCCGGGGCCTCCTCTGGCCCCGCTCCACCAGGTCCATGTCTCTCCTGTGCTGAGGTCCCCGAGCTGGAGGCAGCACTCCAATCATTAGCTTGTAGGGGCGTATTTTTAATGTTTGAAAAAAGCCGGAACTCAAACTGTCTGCCTCTGTCTCTGTCCAGCCAGGCCAGGGCAGCGCCGGTGATGGACCACCTGGGGCTGGAGACCCCGTGGGACCACGGCCACCTCCTCCTCCCACCACCATGCCCAAGCACCTCCTGGTCCCTCCAGGCACAGGTGGCCGGCCCATCTCCTTGGAAATGGCGATGGTGAGCAGGCCTGCTGAATTAAGCATGAGCTGTAATTTAATCTCGTTAACAGAAAGAGACTCAGGAACCTCACCTGGCGTTACAGGAGGCTCAGCACATGGCCAGGCTGGAGGCTGCAGCCTTCTGTCAGCTGTAACAGAAGTATATCATCATAATGACTTATTTATGAGACTTTTAAAGAACATGGTTGCAACACAACCTTAAAACTGATATACTATAATTCTCATTAGATAATAGGTCAAATGACAAAGTGTAATGTTTCCCTGCTCCTTGGTGCTTCCCTAGCGAACAGCCGCAGAACAGGAGGCAGAAGTTCAGGAGAACAGCAGATGTTTCTGCTCTCCCGCAGTTCCCGGGTTTGAGAGCACTAATGAGGGGGGTGAAGGGAGCCGAACCCATCCCCTCTTCCTCCTCCTGCACAGGGGCTGAGAAAGCTGCTCTTCGGAAACGTGTCCCACCTCTTCAGCTGCCAATGGGCACAAGCGTACTTCAGGTTTCGCGATCCCTACTCAGACCTGGCCTACGCTTTGGAGGCAGAAAAGGTAAATGTTTCAGCACAGCAACTGGCACCATCTCCCCAGTGCCTCAGCCACGCGTGGGAGCCGGCAGCCAGCGCCGGGTGCCTCAGCGGTGTACATGCCTCCATCCCACGCCCTGCACCCCTGCATCTCACCCCTGCATCCCACCCCTGCATCCCCCCGCTGCATCCCCCCGCTGCATCCACCCGCTCCCTCCAGGCACAGGTGGCCGGCCCATCTCCTTGGAAATGGCGATGGTGAGCAGGCCTGCTGAATTAAGCATGAGCTGTAATTTAATCTCGTTAACAGAAAGAGACTCAGGAACCTCACCTGGCGTTACAGGAGGCTCAGCACATGGCCAGGCTGGAGGCTGCAGCCTTCTGTCAGCTGTAACAGAAGTATATCATCATAATGACTTATTTATGAGACTTTTAAAGAACATGGTTGCAACACAACCTTAAAACTGATATACTATAATTCTCATTAGATAATAGGTCAAATGACAAAGTGTAATGTTTCCCTGCTCCTTGGTGCTTCCCTAGCGAACAGCCGCAGAACAGGAGGCAGAAGTTCAGGAGAACAGCAGATGTTTCTGCTCTCCCGCAGTTCCCGGGTTTGAGAGCACTAATGAGGGGGGTGAAGGGAGCCGAACCCATCCCCTCTTCCTCCTCCTGCACAGGGGCTGAGAAAGCTGCTCTTCGGAAACGTGTCCCACCTCTTCAGCTGCCAATGGGCACAAGCGTACTTCAGGTTTCGCGATCCCTACTCAGACCTGGCCTACGCTTTGGAGGCAGAAAAGGTAAATGTTTCAGCACAGCAACTGGCACCATCTCCCCAGTGCCTCAGCCACGCGTGGGAGCCGGCAGCCAGCGCCGGGTGCCTCAGCGGTGTACATGCCTCCATCCCACGCCCTGCACCCCTGCATCTCACCCCTGCATCCCACCCCTGCATCCCCCCGCTGCATCCCCCCGCTGCATCCCCCCGCTGCAGCCCAGGCGCTGCTCCCCTCCACCCTGTGCCTGCACGCCTGCCCAGCTGAGCTCTCTCCGTGGGGACGGCTGCGGGGGCGTCCAGCCCCAGCCATGGTCCACAGCTCTCCTGAGCGAAGCGGAGACGCTGACGCCTGTCTGGAAGTGGGGTGAACTGTCCTGATCCAGCAGCGCGCTGCAGACACAAACCTTGAGTACCGTGGTATTACGCGCTTCCAAGGTGAAGGCTCGAGAGAGAAGCAGCAGGTTGTTGTAGGAGGGCACAGCTCAGTGGTACTTTCCCATTTCCTTTTTGGGAATTACAGTTTTCTTCTTACTGCCCTGCCTGGAAATCAAATAGGTGAATTTACCTACATTTCCATTTACTGAAAGAGGGAGGTTTTCTTCTTTCTTATTTACTATCATAATATCGCCCCCAAAAAAGCAGACGACCAAGTTACACACTTAAAACTGCAACTCCCTTTAACCCGCCAGGAGACCAAAATGCTTTTTACAAATGCAGGTGACGCTCCCTGAGTTGGGAGGGTGTGTGACTGCAGAGGGGACGGCAGCGCTGCCCTGTGCAGCCGGCACGGCGGGGAGTGGGGCATGGTCACCCTCACGCATGGCCCCGCGTCAGCCCCACGCTGCCTCACCACCCCAGTCCCTTTGCTGTGAGGCTGGAGGAGGGAAAAACCAAGCCACGGCGCTTATAGGCATTCGTGGTACCCGGAGCTCGCAGCCCTTCCCTGTGGCTGCAGTGCCACAAGCCGGGACCCCCCCCGGGACCCCTCGTCCCCATGCACACACAGCCAGGGCCACCCAGAGTCTTGTCTTGCATAAAGGCTTCTTGGCTTTAGGAACATAAGATCTTTTTCACTTTACTTTTCCGTTTATCTCAGGAGCTGTCAGCAGCGCTCCTGAATTCCCAGGGAGAAAAGAAAGATTTCCCCCCTGATACTGACAGCGGGACGGCTCAGACGGGCCAGAGACTGCTGTGATTTCCAGGAGATGGACATCCCACGAGCTCGTCCGGGCTCCTTAGCACTGGGAAGTGTTGTCTTTCTGCTTCTAGGGGGGAACAAGGCCCATTCTGATGGCTGTACAAGCACACATCATTAAATACCTGCTCTTCGTAAGGAACACAGAATATACTCACCTGGAAAGGTAAGCAGCTGAGCCTTCCCAGGGGACACACGGGAACTGTTTCCTTGCGTTATTTGGGCTCAGACAGAGTAGCACCAGCCTCTGGGTTTAACTGAACTAGACCCAAATTTAGGTTTGCAGCTGCAGGTGGGGATTTGCACCCGGGAGAAAAGCCTTGTCTGACTCCCAGGCAAGGCTTTTTCCCACCAAAATGTTTGTTTCTGTAACGGTGGCACATGGCCCCTCGTCCCACTCCCTGGCACCGCGGTCGCAGCCTGTGGCAGCGCTCGGGCGGCGTCGGCACTGCATGGCTGCTCACCAGGCTGCTGGCCAACCCCAGCCCCAGGCGCTGGGATGGGGAAGGCAGAGCTCAGCCCTCAGCACCAGGGACGCCCGGGCACCAGCCCCAGCCAGGATGAGCGCCCCCACGGCAGACACGCCGCTCCCCGCGCAT